GTGTGTAGTAATAATAATAATAATACTCTAAGGAAACTGGACAAGCTGAGGTCAAAAGAGCAGGGTTAGGAGAGGAGCAGATGACAAGAGAGGTACAACAAGTATCTACATTTCTATCAGTAAAACATGGTTTGAGACTGTATTTCAACCAGTGGTGTTGGAGATGGTGTTAAAAATGAAAAAGTGTTGAATCCATTAAAGGACGAGTTTAATACACCATTGAATACCGTCAGGAAAGCATATGATCGGCATCCGCTTCATTTTTCAGTGTGACAATGATCACAAACACACTATTACAGTAAAGCATATCTGGGACACACAATGGGACTGACCTCCTGAGAGAAGACTGTTTTTGACTCATATGTATTTCCATTTAGGTTTTCACACGCACGTCAAACTTTATCTACCACAACCTCCTCCTACTTCTACAAGTCCTAATCCAACTGGTCAGTGTAATGACAAGTTGAGATAACTACAGCGGGAGAAGACAATTATAAAGAAAAGCAGAACAAAAAGACACCAAACAACTGCACGGAGTCACTCAATACACCTCAACACAAGGGTTGACAATGATGACCACATGATACCACGCTTTTTTTTGAAAAGCAATTTAATTCAGTTTAACATTCCCCTTGGGTTATTTTGTGGAAAACTAAAGTCTGACCACAGCTTCACAGAGTTCCAGATATAAAAAAACAAAAAAAATGATAAAATAACAGATAAAGTCCCAAAATACAGTAACATGTAGCACTGCAAAAGCACTTTGTGAGGCTTTTTCAGAATATGTTGTTATCCTTATGTAATTGTGAGGGTTTGGTGGTTGTGCTTGGATTACAGTACCTGTGTTAAATGGGCCCAATTGCTGCTCATGTTTTCCGCTTCTTCTTAAATCTGGGCAGAGTGAAGCACACAGATGGCTTTTGCCGCTACTTTGAAGTACAAAATGGAAGGAAATGTTTTAAAGTGGTTGCATTTCCAAACATAATGGCATTAAAAGAGGACACAAAATGAACTTTACCAACATAATTACAAAATCCAATGTGTCTTCTGTGTAAAAGTATTTTTTTTTATAAATAAGCTGTTTTTTTTCTGCACACATTATTCCATTTTGAAAGCTTATCGACCTTAAAAAAATCCCTTTTTTTGGCACTTTTTATTGCTGGATAACCATTGACAATAAAAAAAAAAGACAAGGGGCTAGCCATACTTTTTATCAAAACATTTGAAAGTGTATAAAAAGCCACCATATATATATATAAAAAATAAATATATACAAAACAGTCAATCCATCAGATACTCCTTGAATGTAAGTTTTTGACATCTGTTTCTATAGAACTGGAAAACATTTCTAGGGGATTTTCTCTTAAAAGTCAAATTCAAATATGTTTCTTCACACCTCAAGCACCGGGACAGGATATTAGAAATGCATGGGATGCACTCAGAATGGGATTGTGTCAGAAAGGAACAGAGATATGAGAGATGGCAGCAGTGCTAACATAATTGTGTGTATTCTCTTCCTACAGATTTATACAAAGAAAAGGTATAAAAAAAAAAGAGTTGGAAAAAAAAAGAAAAACAACAGCCGAGACCAGAATCTTAAAGAAAAGAAGAAACTGCAGATTGTGATTCTTGTCACCTCTCCGGGGTTGTTTGAAAATATACAAAAGGAATAAAACACAGTGAGGAAAATGGGAAAAAAAAGAGGCAAGACCAAAAATAAGAGCAGGAAATAAAAGCAACGAATTGGCTTTCGTGGGGGAACAACAATGATGTAATAAAAATGTGCTGCCGGTGTATCTTTGCAGGTCTCAGTTCCAGCGAGCCCCTTAGAAAGAAATCGCAGATGTTTGCTCAGAACTATAGAAGAAATCGGTGAGGGTAAATCTAACTATTCAACAACAAAGGCAGTGTCTATATTCCATCTTGTGGTCAGACTTAATAACTTTGGGTCACGGTGTTTGGCTTTCTTTCTTCTCCTTGTAGTCTTTTTGCTTCAGCCCCCCTGCCCCTTTCCTCTATCCCCTGTAGCCCTTTACCAGGGGCCCTTGACAGATGGGCCCTTGGGGCTGTATTCTACTGCATGGCTCATACAGTCTGCGGGATTACAGCGGCCATCTTTTCCTTTGGAACCCTGTTGTCCAGGAGGGCCTGGGATCCCAGGGACACCCTGCTGTCCAACGGGACCAGGGGATCCCATCTTACCATAGCCTGGGGGGCCTGGAACACCTTCAGCATGAAAGGAAAAACAGAATATATTCATCATGTCAACACCTCACAGGCTGCTATACAAGCTGAGAAAAGCACATAACTGCCCAGGAGCACAAAACACCTCAGATTTTACCCTGTCTCCTTAAAAAATGTAGATCGGTTTACTAAAGATATTTTTAAAGGTACTTTAAACTGGTTTATAGAAAAACAACAAATTGACAGTACTGTAAAAAGAAGTGCCAGTGAGATAGCATTAGAGTGGCATCAGCTTTGTCAGTAATAGCAAAAACATGAGTTCCTAAATGCAACGCTATCCCCCTTTAAAGATTTATTGGACGTATAATATTAGAATATAAAATCCATAAGTACAACACTTCCAAAATAAAAAAGCGTGGATACAAGACGAATGAATTTAATCATCAGTAACGTCATCAAATATCATCTGCACGCCATATCAGAAAAATGTATAAAACAAGCACACAACACGAAGCATCATCTCGAACAGATGACGTTATTTCCGTGCCCGTTGTCGGGGGAACTTGAATCAAACATGAGCGGATATTAAACTCCCACTTTGATCACTTCATGAGTAGCACGGCATCTTTTTCAGCCCACGCTCAACGTCCTGCTCCATGTAATGTGAGCACAGATGCTAATTTGCTAATTTACACCATGCTAAGTGAACTCCATCATGATTAGGGATTCTCAGATGCGAATTTGGCTTGAAAGAATCAGACTGGTGATTTTAATTAAGGCCATTTAAGAACGATGAAAAATTACCTCATCGTGCTGGCAATTTACTAATCAACAGCAAGTTCTAAGGAATTAGCAGCCTTTATGGTATTTCAGCCAGTAGAATAAACATAAAGCGTGCGCAGATGGAAATGCCGTCACACAACGTGAGCAAAGGAAGAAAGAAATCTAATGAGGCAAATAGCTGCCACTGAACTATACGATGAATGATGAATGAGTGGGGTACATTACCCGGTGCTCCAGGAGGGCCTACATCTCCCATCTCTCCAACACCCTTGTCTCCTTTTTCTCCAGCCGGTCCTCGTGGTCCTAGGGCAAGAAAGTAACACATGACCACATGGCAACAAAGCTGCTTACTGTCTGCTTATGATAACGTGACATTACTGTCACCCTCACCTGGGAGTCCTTGTCCTCCTGGCCGGCCTTGTCGGCCAATCTGTCCTGGAAGACCGGGGGCACCTGGGGTTCCGGGACTACCTGGAGTTCCATCTTTCCCTGGAGGCCCAGGCCGACCCGGGGACGCCACCATCTCTACTGGCATCTGCATGCGAGACATGTAATAGGCCATTCTCTCTGGGGAGAAGAAGAAAACATTGTGAATAAAAGAAGTCCACAGAGGAAGGAGCAGCTGTTTCCCAAAGGACAAATAGAGCCATTCTTGAAACACAGATATGCATCTCGTGAGATAATACTACTCTAGTGTACAAAGTGGGTTTTTTGCCCACTAAATATTCACACAAAGTGCATTTGCACATGTCCTTACCGTCAAAGATCTTAATGACCTGTTGGCGAATGAAGTTCTTGACTTCATCGTAATTGACAACAGCCTGTTTAAGAAGACAGACAGAGAGGGGGAAAAAACCCAAAACAAAAACCAGACGAGCACACATTAATCAAGGTAGATAATTAAAAAATTCATTATTTACAAGAACAGATGGAGCTAGCGAGCGCCTGTGGCCAGTCTCCTCATTTTTCTCACAACCAGCCTGGTTATGGCATGATTTGGAGCTGATTAAATGTTGGAGGAAAAACAAAAAAATCAAACCAAAAACAAAAGGCTGGCGGGTCAAAAGTGCAATGAAGCTGCATCTCACGTTATTTCCTGGCGATCCTGGAAGACCAGGGGGGCCGGGGGCACCTGCTGACCCTGGACTTCCCCTTTCCCCTCTGGGGCCGACTGGGCCAATCATGGGCTGTGCATCCTTGGAACTATATGCTCCTCCACCAGGGAGCCCTGGCCTACCTCTTTCTCCTGGAGGACCCCTCTGGCCAGGAGCCCCTGCCTCACCCTGAGACACAGAGACAAATAAAGGTTATGCACGCCTTTTTACACCTTTATTTAATATTCACTATGTTGATGTGCATGATGGATGTTCTATAACTGTACTGTCCTTTTATTTTACAAAGAGTAACGTGATAAGGACTGTTACCAACTTAATAGCATCAAAATATGCAGAACTGTGTGATCTTATCACGATGGAGCCATTAATTTTATTTTATTTTTATTTTCACTCTTCAAACCCAACCTTCCAAAGGAGTGTTTCCTTTCCTGTTAAGTACCTGGAAGTTAGGCAAAGTTAAGCCATCCACGAGAGTGGAGCTTATACGACGAGAGTCTTGAAAGGTTCACTGTACTTACAATGTAACATATGGAAATATTGTTTGTTTTGCCCCAGAAATACCAAGAAATTACGTGGTACTCAAATATTACTTGTGAAGTACTTAAAATTATTTACATATTAAAATTTACTTACAATATAATTATTTCTTGTGTCCTCTAAAAACCTGACTTGTTACCCTTTATTCCAGTGTACTTACCTAATATCATTTCCTAACATTGTAATTTCAAAATAAAATACATTGAAAATCCATTTAAAAACACAGGAAATACACCCTTAGTTGCAGGCCTTACTGTAATGTGTTACTTGCTATCTATATACAGCATTCATTAAGAATATAACAATCCATCCATTTGCTTCAGCTTATCCTTTTCAGGGGCGCGGGGTGCGCTGGAGCCTACCCCAGCTGTCATTGGGCGAGAGGCAGGGTACACCCTGGACAGGTCGCCAGTCTGTCTCAGGGCTAACAGACAGAGACAGACAACATTCGTGCTCACATTCACAACTACAGGCAATTTAGATTGATCAATTAACCTATTCCCACTAACTGCATGTCTTTGGACTGTGGGAGGAAGCCGGAGTACCCAGGGAAAACCCATGGAAACGCCAAACAGAAAGACCACAGCCTGATGGTGGAATTGAACTCAGGACCTCCTTTCTGTGCGGCAACAGTGCTAACCACCGTTCCACTGTGCTGCTGAATATAACTATTTCGCCAATTTAGGAAGCCTACTGTACAAATACAGACAATATTAATACCTGCATTAAGCCCTATAAGACGGCTTTTGACTACATCTATATCACTTTCCACACTGTGGTGCTCAGCACTCAGGTTGTGTAAATACACTCAAAAACAGGCCCGCTACATTAGCGACAGTGATTTATCGAGGACAAAGCAGCCCATAATGGACGTCTAATGTTTACACATCAGCGGCAGACAGGCGGCTCTTGAAACAGAGAGGAGCGAGAAGAATAGAAGAGTCCGTTCTTGTCTTTCTCCTCTGCTCTCCTTTTCTGTGCGGCTAAAAACCCTGACAATGCCGTCCTGTCAGCGTGACAAATAGCCTCATCTAGCATCTCCCCTCATGCTTAATAGCATTATCCCAGCGGCAGAAGAATAACTTTATCACTGTACCCACCTACTGTAAAGCCTGCGTCTCAGGCTACATCCAACAGGCTCAGTACTGCAGCTACAGAAGGTTAGCGGGCAGCCATCTGCCAGTTTGGAGAAGGGTAAAGTGAGGGGAGAAGGAATGAGAGTTTTAGCAGAGGGGTCGGAGGGTTAGTGATCTGATGACTGTGTTAAGTGCGAGTGCTGACTGAGCAGAAATGTGGGAGGGGGGCAGCGAGCATGTTCAGCACTGTAGTGTGCCGGTATTAGTCTCCGTGGGCTAAAGGGAACAGGAAAAGGGTGGATCTCACTGCGTTCAGATGGTCCGCAGAGGGGACGGATGGCTGAGCTTCACCTTGAGGAGGCACACACACACAAACACACACATTTCTAGAATACTGCACTGAAGAGTCGCCTCTTACCTTTTGCCCTGACTGCCCATTGTCCCCTGGCACACCTGCCACTCCCTGTCAAAACAAAACAAATCAGAAAAACAAGTATCGATCAAGGAAAGAAATATGCGCAACATAATCTGTCAGTCTGCCTCCATTATACTTTAAAAAGAGGGCCAACACCACACCCAGACATTACTCACATCTTTTCCAGGAGAACCATCGCTTCCTGGCTCACCCTGCAAGACAAAGTCAAAGCAAGGGAAAAAAAAAAACAATTTAAGTGAGAAAAGTTGGCAGTCTGAATTATGTTTAATTAAATGTAGATAGGGTCATTTCAGAAAAGTACCAACCATAGGCCCCGAGTGCCCCGGTGGCCCCGGAGATCCTGGCATCCCTGGGAGACCCCTCTCTCCATCCTGGCCCTTATCTCCTTTTATACCCTAGTTAACCAGGGAGAAAAATGGAGAAGATTCTCTTCCATTATTTGCATTTTTGGCAGCAGGACAGAATTTCAATAGTGCCTCATTTCCACTTCCCTCACGCAGGCATACGCCAACAATACAGACCCACCAACACATAACGTTCCCACTTTCTACTGACGCATTAATTAACAGTTGTGGAAAATAAGATACTACTCTACTTTATGTTTTTTTGCTTCTCTTTTCTGGCCTCTGCAGTTATTTTCCACGATCACAGTCAGTGTAAATATTACTCGCTTTGCTCACTTGTTTATATTTGTCTGACTATACTGTCGACCCATTCTCCTCTATGGGGTTGTTAAAGATGCATTTATTCACATTCAGTCATTCAGCTCTTGTTTAACTAAATAGTTATCATGATATTTGAGAGATTCTCTCTCTTACCACTCCTGATGGGCCTGGAGGTCCTGGAGGTCCAGCTGGACCTGTAGAGCCCTGATGAGGAAAGCAAATAGATTTGTGACGTCTAGCTTGTTAACACACTGAAATATTGCAACATGATGAATGTATATGTTTGAAATGGAAGTGAACTTACAAGGTGGCCCGGAGGTCCAGGTCTCCCCTGAGGTCCTGGCGTACCTGGATCACCCTGGAAAGGCCACAAACTGACTGTGATGTATGCCAACTCGCGCTTTCAGCTTCCATGCATAGATTACTGATGTGCTTTATAATCAAGTTGAAGCAAAGATGTAAAGCGAGATAGTCACCTCATGTCCCGGTCTGCCAGATGGCCCGGGTGGACCTGTGGGTCCAGCTTCACCCTGCAGGGATAAGAAACTTATAAATATAAACTAAAGGAAGCACGATAAGAATGCAGGACTCTGATTTTGGGAGATTCAAAAGAATAAGTTAGCAAAGCTACAAAAAACTCCCCAAAAAACAGACTTTCATTGTAATGATCAGCTTGATAAAAACAATTTGGTTTCATGCAGAAGAAAGACGGTGTAAATGTAACTAGTTAAAAAGGCAGACACGGTAAAGCAGCGAGTCGCTGGCTAACCTTCTGTCCGGGAAAGCCAACGTGGCCGGTTTTCCCTTTGAATCCCTGAGGAGAGACATCAAAGAGAATGAGATTGGTACAGTATAAAAATTCACAAAGTCAAAGCAGCCAAAAGAAGAGACAGGCATGTCTTTGAAAATCCTGAACACCTGCTCTTGGGTAGAACACAAACTGTGATATGGCGAGAGAGGAATAAAAAAAAAAAAAGGAGAACTGGAGGGAGACAGACAGCTAGTCATGTCTCCAGTGGAGCGAAGCAGCGCTGCTATACAAGACAGAAAGTTAGGGAGATCTTAGGAGGAGCTATGAAGGTAAGAGGTTTTGGATTTGGTTACATTACGAGTAACATCTACAACCTTAACAAGAGTCGGTAAAGACTGCACGTGTAAGTGCTGTTCCAACATGAGGGGAAGCAAAATATCGCGAGTCATGCTGTCAGTTAATTTGCATAGGGCAAACCCAGAGCAACTTTTAAAAAAGTCAAGGAATAACATCCTCGCACCTGTCTTGAAAACCTTTTTCTGCGCTTGAATTAATTTTAATTTCAAAGTGAGTCCCAACATCAGGAGTGAAAACAGTGCAGCCGTGTTTGACGTTCTGTGTCTCCATAAAGAACGTTAGGTCGGCTTTAAAGGTACAACAAAATGATTAGTCATGCAGGCTGATACTTGTTTACTTTTTGCACTAAGCCATGGCAATGTACACGCTCTGGTCACTTTATTAGGTACATCTGTTCCAATCACATGATAGAAACTCAGTGCATTTAAAGTTCAAACCGAGCACGACTGAACGTGGTGCAGTTATTGGTGCCGGACAGGCTAGCCCTGCGCATTTCAAAAACTGCTGATTTTCTTGGATTTTCACCCACACAACCATCTCTAGCGTTTACAGAGAAAATAATCAGTGAGCGGCAAAAATGCTTGGTTGATGCCAGAGGTCAGAGATGAACGGTCAGAGAGCGTGATTGGAAGGCAACAGTAACGAGAAGAAAAAAACAAAACAAAAAACTTGTTACAACCAAGGCTTGCAGGAGGACATCTCTGAAAGCACAACACTTCAACCACTGAAGCAGATCGGCTACACTGGCTGCCACTCCTGTCAGCTAAGAACAGGAAACCGAGTCTATAATTCACACAGGCTCACCAAATTTGGACAACAGAAGAAGACAGTCATGACATTTGTTTGTTAGGGTCAAAATGTGGCAAAAACAAAATGAAAGCATTGATCCATCCTGTCTTATAACGGTGGTTCAGTGGTGGGAGATATTTTCTTGGTAAACTCCAGAGCTCTTAGTACCCCAACTGAGCATCTTTTAAACACCACAGCCTGAGTATTGTTGATCACATCTATCCTTTAAAGACCACAGTGTGCCTACTGTATCTTCTGATGGCTGCAATAAGCAGCCATCAGAAGCTTTGAGCTTTGCTAATCACAAACCTCAAATCACCTCAAACATGACAATGAGTTCACTGTAGTCAAATGGCATCCGCAGTCACCAGATCTGAATCCAACACAACACCTTTGGAATGACAAATCTGCAGCAAATGTGTGATGCTGTATTGTCGTGTACGTTTAAAGTGTCTGCCAAATGGACTGGATCACCCAAAACATGCTGAAGAAATAATTCGATTAATTTCTGATGTTAACGTTGAGAGGAAAAAGGCATTTACATTTACAGCATCACTTAATGAGCACTTGTGCACTTAGATATTGCTGCTGACACAGCTTAGCTGACGACTTTAACTCACTAAATCACCTACTGCTAATTTGCTAATTTGCTAATTAGCAGTAGCCTATTGAACTTTTCTCTCTCCGTTGTCCTTTAAGGGGGAACGCTGCACACGCTGTCTGGTACCTGCTAAGCACACTGAGAGGACTTGTGACGTGATGTGAACTGAATTAAGGAAACAATATTCCAGGTAGTTTTGGGATATAGTCAGTTCGAGTACGGACAAAATAAAACATACCGTGGAAAATGCACATGTGTGGAAAAAAGACATAAAACACAACCATTAACTTCAAGCGGTGTTACCAGGATGGATATTCTATCTGTATAAAAATGAATCTCAAGGTAACATTTTATAGTAAATAGTAAATTGAAGGGTTTTTTAATGTTAAACAATATAATTGTAATCCAATTACAATCCATGAAAGAGTGCACCAGTAAGGAGGGCAATTCATGAATAACTGATGTGTCATAAATTACAATCTTTTTTATTAAAAAATTAAAGCCACATAAATGTGAACATTAATAATGAGCCAGCCTTAATTCTCTGCACAGTTACATAAAAGATTTCATTCAACTGTTTCAGTGTTTTAAATCTGAACAACCAAGTTCAAGTTGATGCAAGATTTTATTAATAATAACATGATTTTTGTACAATATGAAAAGATACTGTTCATTCTGATTAGAGGAGGGAATACTCACGGGCATTCCCCGGGGTCCTGCTGGGCCTGGAGGTCCTGTTTCTCCCTGATGAGAAAAAAATAAAAAGAGCCAGTGCCAAAGATCAGCTATTACAGCCACATCTTTACTCATCACTGCTTTTTTTTTTTCATTATATACTGTGTGTTTGTGTGTACGTTGCATGTGTGGGCAGACCACCCATCTGATTCATGCATGTGACCTACCCGCAGTCCTGGCTTCCCATCTTTTCCATCAATTCCGTCAATGCCACGGGGGCCCTTTTAATATTGCAAGATAAGAGAGGACAGATAAGTACTCATAACAGCATACAGTTCACAGGTAGGTCAGAAGGGGTCATACTTAGATTATACAGTGCAAAAAATAAAAAATAAATAATGCACATACCATCAACCCTGGCGACCCGGTTGAACCGGGTGGTCCACTTGGTCCTTGAGGGCCTTGAGTGCCGTCGTTGCCCTAAAAGTAGAGATTTTCAGTCCAATTTGAAGTGCGAACAAAAACTGAAACAGCTAAATGTGTGTTTTGTACTCACTTTTTCCCCTTTGAGCCCTTGAAGTCCTTCCCTTCCAGTTTTGCCGGCAGGACCTGGTGGTCCCTAAATTCATACACAGTGATACAGAAAGTCTCAACAGTAACATCAAGCACAAATGGCTGCTTTAGTGGACTGAAAGCATTTACATACAGGTGGTCCTGGGAAGCCTGGTTGTCCTTGGAAGCCCTTAAAATATAAAGAGAAACACACTGGTAATCGGTAGTACTGGATCTGTTTGTTAGGTCTATGTGTCTTTGTGTTTTATAGTGCATACCTGATCCCCCTTAGCACCAGCAGGCCCTGCTGGTCCACTGTCTCCTTTAATGCCCTACAGACGCACAATGTTCACCCAGTTATTAAACTTAGAAATCATAAATGAAAAAGCCGGATCCTAAATATTGACAAGCTAAATTTACAATGAAATGCTGACCGGCAATCCAGCTTGTCCTTGATATCCAGGGTTACCAGGAGGCCCCTGCAAAAGGAAGGAAAGTTTTAGCCGATATATATCCAACACAAGCACGCAGGACAGTGTTGATGCAATCCCTTACTGATTCTCCTGTTAGGCCAGCAGTTCCTGGGCTTCCACGTTCGCCCTTGAGTCCCTGATAAATAAATAAAGGCAGAAAATTAGTGTCTGCTGACATGTCAGTATCACCCCCCAGCTGTCAGGATGATGTCAGTGCTACCGTTTCTTCATAATCAAGCAGGCAGAGTGACCTACAGGCAGTCCAGGAGGGCCCATGGTTCCTGGGTACCCAGGCGTCCCTGAAGGACCCTAAAGTAGAGATCACAGAATCAATCAAATATGGACAGCACTTATTTTTTCTCCATGCTATAATGTGAGAATGATTGTGTGATACTTGCCTGATCACCCTTCATTCCCGGGAGGCCATCTGACCCTCGCTCACCCTGTTGACCCTGAATGTGACAGGAGGGAAGAAGGATTAGAAAATGAAGAAGAGGATGTGATATGTACGTCTGCGAGAGAGGCTCCCCTGGCAGAAATAAAAGTGACAGGGTAAGTCAATATCAAAGAGTGGAAAAGGCTAACTAGCTTGGATCACATCCCCATGAGACTCCCTATTTGATTTTGTCCTCGGCTCTATACCTCCATGAGGCTTTAGCTCTGAGGTGGTGACACCCGGGAGAAAATCATTATGAATACATATATAAAGGGATTTCTATGGAACTTTGTAAAATTTACTCAACATATTATCCAGACACTTGCCTTGAAATCCCATCCTCCATGTTTCAGGTGGAAATTTGAACTTACATAAGCTTTTAGACACCAGCTGTAGCACATTAAAAAAAACAAACAAATAGCTGACACCAGCAACAATAAAATGACATGTTATGAACAACAGGAAATCATAGAAAAGCTATATTTCGTTATCTGTTGACATTTGAAATCAAAGTATTTCTTGGTCGTTTTATTCTCTATTAGTACAGGTTTACATGACTCGCAATAATCTATTCAAAATAATTGCATTCAGACCGATATACTAGCCGATATTAGCGATTTGCTAATATCAACATCAACATTTTTAAAGACTGACAAATAAAAATTAAAAAGTAAAGACGAACTAAACACTCTTCAACCATGGTATTAGTTATGATGTTGCGTATTTTGTCCACCAGAGGTTACTCTCCACCTTCCCTGTATGTATGGTTGGAACGTCACAAACACAACAACCAGCTGATGCCAGTTGAGCATAAAGGAGTAATCCACAACTTGTGTGACAGAAAAACAAGATTATTTTGAAAATTCATGTTATTTTTGCAAGAACTCATAAATAACTAAGAATACCAAATCTCAGTGAAAACTGTTAATTTTTAGGTCTGAGAGGGAAAAAATATCAGCCGATATATCGATTTGAAATGATCAAATATCGGTATTGATCTTAAAAACCATTTATCAATTGGGCTCTAAAAATAACCCATATTTATCTTATAGCTTGTGCAGCCCACTAAGCTCATTTTCCATCAGAAACAAGCTCTATTAGTATTTCTTTCTTTAAGCTAACTTTCTTTTGATTGGCTACCCTATATGTGGGGTCGAGCTGTGGGGTCGAGCTGTGGGGTCAAGCTGCATGCCTGAGACGACCGCCTCTTTGACATCACACAGATCCAACGGAAGACTCCAGAATCTCAAGTCTGTACTTTTGCTTCAGTGCGATTAATGAATACACACTGCTCTCATTGCTTACTGTACATTTAATATGAGAGAACTCATGATCGGTTATTACACAGTGTCTGACAGTTCGACAGCAGGGATTTCCTTTACCTTGGCAAAATAGACAGTTTGTAAAGCAAATGGTCAGAAATGAGAGAAAACTACTTCACGATTAGGCAACTGCCTGATTACCTTTAGTTTATACTCTGATCGTGCTTACCGCTGTTCATAATCTACACCTGCAAAAGCCTACATCGAGCCAAGACGAAACCCTGTGATTGGTTTCCCGTCATTGTCAGGAACTTCTTAACTCCTGAATAAGCAGCGTTTTCAACAGCAGGGTAACACCACTCTCCCTCCCTCTCACAAACAACACAAACAGACACACTGCTGCACACAGCAGAGGCTAACACCTGCTATAAAGCGATACTACACCACAAATGGACTCCATGCAGTGCTCACACGGCTCACTCATTTAGCATCTCTATTCTCCTAAAGCAATAAATCTGTATGAGGAGAAAAGGGGAAGGGGAGGGCTGCGTCCGCACAGCAGTGCAACTCTCCATCACTTAGATGGGGGAATAATTGAACAACTGGAGAGAGAGAGAGAGAGAGAGAGAGAACCAAATCGTTTCCTCATCTGACATAACTTTCATTAAAGAGCCACAAAGAAAAGATGGCGCAAGACGGAATAAACAAGGGTGGCTTTGATTTAAAAGTGGGAGGATCCACAATTCAGAGGAAAAGACCAATACGTAAACAAATAGAAAATTGGTTCGCAGCTTTAGAACAGTGTTGGGAAGCAGCTCGACTGCATTGATTCAAATGTTGTACTTAAGTACAGTTTTGAGGTACTTGTACTCCTACTCCTCCACTTTTGCACAGAAGCTGTAATCAATTTTACCTTTATTAAGGAGCGAACATTATATGTACATTTTGTAAAGGTATGATGTGAACTTTCCTGCAAAATGTTATCCCGTTTAAGTTGGGCCAAGCATCAGCTCTAGTAAAACTGTTATGCAATTTGATCCATAACCTTTTGAGCATTCCGTCAAACAAACAGACAAAACAAATCCATTGCATAACCTCTTATTGCAAATAAGAGAGAGGGTACTTAGGCCTTCGGACATTTATCAGATTTGTGCGAGTCGTTTGAAATTACAAGTAATTCTCCTTCTGAACTTGTCAACTGGAAAGGGAAATAAAATAACAGCTTAAAGGCAAAACATAAAACTGTAGTGTTGATCTGATTTTACAGAAAAAAGCAAAGGATTAAGAAAATAAAAAAGCTCTCTTCTTTTCCTCCTCTTAATTCCCCCTTATATATATATATATATATATATATATATATATATATATACACACGCACACACACACACACTCACTCACACACACATACACACACTCACTGGCCACTTTTTAGGTATACCTGCTCAACTGCTCATTAGTGCATTTATTTGCCAAGAAAAGTCTTTAAAATCATTTTAATTATTCTTCACTGTATAGTGATACTGAAGCAAAGTGCATGAACCAAACCAAACAACTGTGCATTTGCCAAAACTGCCGGCGTAGTCAAGACGATCTGCTGAAGCTCAAACTCATCAGAATGCGCAAAAAATATCAGTTAAGTGACTTTGGGTGCCCGGCTGTTTCTGACTATTTTAGAAACTGCTCATCTGCTTGGGCTTTCCCACACAACCGTTTACAGAGAGTGATCCAAAAAAGAGAAAATATCCAGAGAGTGGCAGCTCTCTGTGAGAAAATGCCTTGGCGATGCCAGAGGTCAGAGAAGAAATGCCAGATTGCTTTGGGAGATGGCAGAACGGAAATAGTCACTCAAATAACCACTCATTACACCCAAAGTATGCAGAAGAGTATCACGTCAAACCTTAAAGCAGAAGACTGCACCAGGTGCCACGTCTTTTAGCCAAAGCTACATTTAGCATGGGCTCAGCAAAATTGGACAATAGATGATTGGAAAAAATGCTAAATGGCCTGATGAGTCTGCTGCAAGTGTCATAATGGTGTGGGAGATGTTTCCTTAGCACACAGTATTCCCATCTTCTGATGACTCCTTCTAGCAGGATAATGCTCCAATTTCTTTCACTTATTCAATTCAGAGTTGCAGAGGAGGGCTAGAGGCTATCTTAGTTGTCATAGGGTGAACGGTAGGACATGTCACCAGTCTGTTGCAGAGCTCACAAAGAAAAACAGACAACCATTCACATCCAGGTCCAACTTAGAATGGCCACTTAACCTGCCTCACTAACTGCATGTCTTTAAACCGTGGGAGAAAACCCACACAGACACAGAGGGGAACAAACGCCAAACAGATGATGGACTTGAACTCAGGACCTTCTTTCTACGAAGCAATAGTGCTAACCACCGCACCAACATGCTACACGCTACATCGCCCAAAGCTCAAATCATCTCCAACTGGTTTCTTAAACATGAGGACAAGTCCTCTGTGCTCAAATGGCCTTCACAGCAACCACATCTCAATCCAATAAAGACCCTTTGGGATGTAGAGGAATCAAAGATTCACCATGGGTGTGCGGTTGATAAATTTTGCCTTTGCTAAATAAAATGGGAAAATAACTGAAATCTGAGAATTTAAATGAAACTTACAGGTAAACCAGGTGGGCCCTGAGAACCTGGAAATCCAGGAGGTCCCTGCAGATAGAAAATAATGAAAGGAACACTTTAAAACACCCGAGACATAAAAGTAACAAGAATACACACAGGAAAAAAAAAACAAATTACCCCTTTCGTTTAAGCTGGTTTCAATTTGTTCCTGACAATTAGGTGAATGCTGCACTAGGCATGCCAACAGAGAGCTCTAGTGTCGGTTTGTGTGA